TTGACAAAATATAGCATCCTTTCTTGATTAAAACTCTTCAGAGTATAGGGATAGAGGGAACATTCCTCAAGTTCATAAAATCCATCTATGAAAAACCCACAGCGAATATCATCCTCAATGGGGAAAAGCTGAAAGTCTTTCCCTCAAGATCAGGAACACATCAAGGATGCCCACTCTCACCACTATTGTTAACATAGTAGTAGAAGTCCTAGCAACAGCAATCAGACAACAAAAAGAAATAAAAGGTATTCAAATTGACCAAGAAGAAGTCAAACTCTCTCTCTTCACAGACAACATGATACTTTATGTGGAAAACCCAAAATACTCTATCCCCAAATTACTAGAACTCATACAGCAATTCAGTAATGTGACAGGTTACAAAATTAATGCATAGAAATCAGTTGCTTTATTTATTTATTTATTTATTTATTTATTTATTTATTTATTTAATTATGTTATGTTGATCACTTCAGTTGCTTTCTTATACACCAACAATGCAACTGTAGAAAGAGAAATTTGAGAAATGATTCCATTTACAATAGCACCAAAAACCATAAGATACCTCAGAATAAACCTAACCAAAGAGGTAAAGGATCTATACTCTAGGAACTATACAACACTCATGAAAGAAATTGAAGACACAAAAAGATGGAAAAACATTCCATACTCATGGATCAGAAGAATAAACACTGTTAACATGTCTATGCTGCCCAGAGCATTCTATACCTTCAACGCCATTCTGATCAAAATACCAACAGCATTTTTCAAAGGGCTGGAACAGACAGTCCTAAAATTTGTATGGAATCAGAAAAGACCCTGAATCACCAAGGAAATGTTGAAAAAGAAAAACAAAGCTGGGGGCATCACGTTCCCTGATTTCAAGCTATATTACAAAGCTGTGATCATCAAGACAGCATGGTACTGGCACAAAAACAGACACATAGACCAATGGAACAAAATAGAGAGCCCAGATATGGAGTATAAGAGACTCTTAATGATAGAGAACAAACTGAGGGTTGATGGAGGGAGGTGAGTGGGGGATGGGCTAAATGGGTGATGGGTACTAAGGAGGGCACTTGTTTTGATGAGCACTGGATGTTATTTGTAAGTGATGAATCACTAAATTCTACTCCTGAAACCAATATTACATTATATGTTAACTAACTAAAATTTAAATTAAAAAAATAAAACAAACAAAAAAATTAATTAAAAGAAAAAGAAAACATGATGAGATATCACCTCACACCCATTAGAATAGCTATTAAAAAAAGTCAAAAGGTAACAAGTGTTGGCAAGGATGTGGAGAAAAGGCAACCACTATACACTTTTGGTAGAAATGTAAACTGACACAGCCTTTATGGAAAATAATATGGAGGGTCCTCCAAAAATTAAAAATAAAACTACCATATGGTCAAGCAATCCTATTTCTGTGTATATACCCAAACGAAATGAAATCAGTACCTGAAGAGACATCTGCACTACCATGTTCACTGCAGCATTATTCACAGTAACCAAGATATGGAAACAATCTAAATGTCAACAGATGAATGGAAAAAAAATGTGATATACATTTATATTATATTAATTATTATATCATATTATATCATATTTAGTGATATATAATGTGATGCATAATTATATGTATATTATCTAGCTTAATACATAGTTACTTATTCATGACCAAAAAAGCTGAACTTAGAGAGTAGAATGGTGATTACCAGAGGCTCGCATCTGAGGGGAAAGGAAAGATTTTTTGAAAACACAAAAAGAAGTCATGCGGCAACTGGGTGGCTCAATCTGACTCTTGATTTCACCTCAGGTCATGATCTCAGGGTTGTGAGATCGAGCCCTGCATCAGGCTCTGTGCCGGGCATGGAGCCTGCTTAAGATTCTCTCTCTCCCAGATTTTTGCAAATGTTTTGTCAGATAAAGGGTTAGTATCCAAAATCTATAATGAACTTATCAAACTCAACACTCAAAGAACAAATAATCCAGTCAAGAAATGGGCAGAAGACATGAATAGATATTTCTGCAAAGAAGACATCCAAATGGCCAATAGACAAATGAAAAAATGATCAACATCACTCAGCATCAGGGAAATACAAATCAAAACCCCACCTCACACCAGTCAGGATGGCTAAAATTAACAAGTCAGGAAATGACAGATGTTGGTGAGGCTGTGGAGAAAGGGGAACCCTCTTACACTGCTGGTGGGAATGCAAGCTGGTGCAGCCACTCTGGAAAACAGTATGGAGGTTCCTCAAGAAGTTGGAAATAGAGCTACCCTAAGACCCAGATATTTACCCCAAAGATAAAAATGTAGTGATCTGAAGGGGCACTTTCACCCCAATGTTTATAGCAGCAATGTCCACAATAGCCAAACTGTGGAAAGAGCCTAGATGGCCATCAACAGATGAATGGATAAAGAAGAAATATACACAACTCAGCCACCAAAAAAATGAAATCTTGCCATTTGCAATGATGTGGTTGGAACTAGAGGGTATTATGCTGAGCGAATTAAATCAATCAGAGAAAGACAATTATCATATGATTTCACTCATATGTGCAATTTAAGAAACAAAACAAAACATAAAGGAAGGGAGGGAAAAATAAAACAAGATGCAATCAGAGAGGGAGACAAATCATAAGAGACTCTTTTTTTAATTTTTTCAGAGTCCATAGTCTCTCATGGTTTGTCTCCCCCTCCGATTTCCCCTCCTTCATTTTTTCCCTTCCTACTATCTTCTTTTTTTTTTCTTTTTTTAAACATATAATGTATTATTTGTTTCAGAGGTACAGGTCTGTGATTCATCAGTCTTACACAATTCACAGCGCTCACCATAGCACATACCCTCCCCAAAGTTGAGAGACTCTTATAGGAAACCAACTGAGGGTTGCCGGAGGGGAGGGGACTGGAAGGATGGGTTAACCCTTTGCCCCTCCTCCTCCCATAAAAAGACAAAAAGAAATCAAGAAAGGAGAATGGTGGTTGCCATTGTTGCAATGGTACAGAATTTCGGTTTTGCAAGATGAAAGAGTTCTGGAGATGGGCAGTTGCACAACAAAATAAATGTTCTCAATACTATTTAACTGTATAATTATTAAGATAGTAATTTTTATATTATGTGTGTTTTACCATAATAAAAAAGAAAATAAATAAATAACTATTGGATTATAGCCCAAAATATAAAATAAATATTCATGCATCCACACTGATATAAAGTGATTAAACATATAAACAAATAAACAAATAGTGAGAAGGAAGAGATGAATTTCCTATACAGAAAATTCCAGATAATTTATGTTGATACTTCACCCTCAATGACAGGGAGCTTACTCCCCACTTCACACGGTGACCTCCTTCCAAACAACACACTATAGAAAGATGGGAGATGAGGGGTAGGCTGAGGAGCATTTAACTTTACAGTGGGAAAACCTGACACACACTACATCAGTCAGGAGATCAAAGTGATAAATCATGTTAGGAGTATGTACTTTTCATATAATGTGATGACAGTGGAACTTTGCCTCTGTACTTTTTCTCCTAAAAACCCACAACTTCAGTCTAATCATAAGAGAAACATCAGACAAACCCAAACTGAGAGAGTCTACAAAATAGCTCATCTGTACTCCGTCAAAATGGTCAATGTCACCAAAAACAATGGAAGTCTGAGACACTGTTAGTCATGAGGAGCCTAGGAGACAAGATGACTAATTATAGTGGAGTATCTTAGGTGGGATCCTGGAACAGAAAAAGACATTAGGTTAAAACTAAGGAAATTAGAGTAAATCTCGAACCTTAGTTAATATATCAATATTGTTTTGTTAATTGTAATAAATGAACCATATCCACGTTAAAATGTTAATAATATGAGAAACTGGGTGTGGAGTATATGGGAACTCTCTGTATTAGCTTCTCAACTTTTTTGTAAATCCAAAGCTGTTCTAAAAAATAAGGCCTATTTAAAAAAACACACACACACACATCAAAACCTAACTCTCCAAAGAAAATGAGTGCATACTGTGAGTTTTTCTGGTTACTTCTCCCTTTGCCTGTGGACGTCTCAACAAGGATGCCCCAGGCATATCCTCATGGCTGTGGTAAAATAGCTTTAGGTGGCTTGAGACAACTTGCCTGAAATGATAAGGTTAATAGTTAAAGGCAGGTGGTTTGAAGCATTAAAGGCAGAGTTTGTCCCAGGAAGGAGAGAGCCCCAAGTCCTGGTGTGATTGATGCCAGTAAAGGCTACAGAAATGTCAGGGAGGGTAATGGCTACAGTGGCCTTGGATCTGTATTTCTCCAACCTACTGAGCACTCTCATGATTCCAGTGGGCCCAACCTTTACTTTCTTTAGTGCTTTAGTGACACTGTCACTGTCACCGATTGGGACCAGTCTTGGGACTCTCCTCTTCCCACCTTGCTCAATTCTGCTTCTGTCACTTTTCTAAAGTTTTCCTTAGCCAAGTAGACTTAAGAGTCCATAAGACTCTTGGAATCTATTCTACAGAGAGAACATCCAGGAAGGGACCAGAACCCAGCCAAAGCCCCAAAGCCTCGTATCTTCCCAGAGCCATCCCCAAAGTGAGGAGATGAGAGGAGCTCAGAGGTGCTGGACTGAGCTTGGCCAGAGGCTAGGATTGGGCCTGGTGTGTGGTGTAAGGCAGTGCTGAACTGAGGTGGACAGATCCTCCTTCCTCCAACCAGATTAACTTGTCCCTGCTCATGATCAGCAATTGACAAGCTTTACTTTCAGGTGCAAGAGTGAAGTTGTTTTGGTTTGGTATTGGTTTCCTTTTAAGGAGCTGGTGAATACATTGGGTGGTTTGAGGAGCAGGGTTAAAGATGTCTTTCCTCCTTTGGGAATTGGCCAAGAGAGTCTGTTGCAACCATTGACCCACACACAGGTTTTTATATGGTGAGAGACAGAGGAGAAAAGACAAAGAGAATACAGGATCCAAGGACTTCCAGGATTTATTCTGTATTATTGTACACACTCACGGATTCAACTATAATACTGGGGATGAAGTCAGAGTTAGTATGGTAACTGTCTCCTTAGGCAGAGGATTTGGCCACCTGAGGTTGGGGCCGAGTTCATTAGGGGTGGTTGCTGAACAATAACTTCCCCTTCCCCCAGCCCCATCAAAGAAACAGAAGGACAGGGTCAGGCAGGTTCACAGATGAGGCAGGCCACCCAGGCTGGGGACCTAAAATTAGTGAGGCCACTGGCTCTCTCTTCACTTGTGTGGGATGGCCTGAGAGCCTCTGGAATACTGGGGGTGCTTACTTATGTTTTGGGGGGCCATACAGATCCTTCTTCTGCTGTTGCTGCTCTGTGAGGGGTAAGACTTCTCCCTTCGGTGACTGAACTGGCTGGGTCTCTTGGACCTGGCCAGGAACTGGGACAAATGCAGGCCACTCCACCTGCCCCTCCTGCTGCTCTGCTGGCTCTGGTGGCTGCTCCTGCTGTTCCAGCGGCTGCTCCTGCTGTTCCAGCAGCTGCTCTTCTTTCTTTTCCAATTGCTCATTTCTCTTTGCTAGCTCTTGATCCAGTTGCTGGTCCAAGAGCTTCTTTTCCTGTTCCAGCTGTTCCTTTTGCTGCTGCTCCCTTTGTGCTTTCACCTGCTCCAGCTGCTGCTCCAGATTTTTTGCTTCCTGATGTTCCTCACACTGTTCCTCTTGCTGCTGCTGCTGTATTTTCTGCTCCTTTGGCTCCTCCTTCTGCTGTTCCAGATGCTGTCCCAAGTGCAGTTCCTGCTCCTGTCGCTCCTGCTGCTGCTGTTCCAGATGCAGTTCCTGCTCCTGTGACTCTTGCTGCTGCTGTTCCAGATGCTGTTCCTGCTCCTGTAGCTCCTGCTGCTGCTGTTCCAGATGCTGTTCCAGGCACAGTTCCTGCTCCTGTGATTCTTGTTGCTGCTGCTGTTGCTGCTGTTCCAGATGCTGTTCCTGCTGCTGTGGCTCACATTGTTGCTCGGGAACCTCCTTCACAAGAGTTGTGTGTTTCTCCCCATGCTCCAGAGGGACCTCCCCCAGGAGCTTGGAGGGCACCTTCTGGCACAGGGCCGGTAGTGAAGTTGGTTGCTTCACTTGCTCCTGCTGGGTATCGATGGGAGAAGAAACAGGCTTGAGGGGTTCCTGATTGAGGGCAGGAGGCAGGGTCACTGGCAGAGTGTGTTGCTGGGACATCCTGGAAGCTGCTTTAGATCAACCTGAAAAACAGAAGGGGTCAGAAGGGTGACTGAAGGCAGAGGGAGTGGATGAATCTCCAGAATCTGCAGAAGGGCCTGGTTTCTCAGCATCCCTTCTCTTTCCTTGGGTTGGGGCTCTCCTACCCACTCTGGGCTGTGTTCCCCAGATGCAGCAGAGTGAAGGGGAGGAGCCTTTTGTTCCTAGAAAGAGCCAACGAAGAGGTCTGTCTTCAGAGTTACTGGGTGCCATTTCTTGCCTAATCCTTGCCTCTGACCTTGACTTCTGACCTCTACTGACCAAGAAGGAGAGATGAGTTCTGGGGTTATGATGGGAAGAGGTGAAGCCCTAGGAAAAGAAGAGTACTCCTGGAGGACTCCTGAGTCCTAGAAAATCAGTGGTCCATGGCACATGCCCTGGACTACTCACACAACATAGTATCAGCTTAAGTTGTCCCACTGAAAGGTTGTATGTTTCTGAGCAGGTCACTTAATCCTGCTGGGCCTCAGATTTCTCCTCTATAAAATTAGCAGATTGGCTTGTTCAACTCCAGGGGTTTCTTTCATGACCTTCAGAGGTTTAGCTGCAGCCCTAGCACTTGGGGGATGGGGTGGGGGGAGGGGCTGGAAGGTTGCTGGGGAGCAGAGCCAGTTCTTTCAAGTCTTGCAATTCTAAGTTGGATTTTCCAGCTTCTGCTTTGCCTGGGTTTCTCCAAATAGAAGATTTTCCCCATTTTGCCATTCTCCCTTCTGCAGTACAACAAGAGTTACATGCATTTCCCTCAAACCCCTGCCCCCTAAAGAAGGCACAGTCATGGTCAGCCCAAATCAAACAGTTTCAGGGAAGAAATTGACTGTACTCCCCCTCATCCCCATCTTACCTCTTCTCTCTCTCTCTCTCTCTCTCTCTCTCTCTCTCTCTCACACACACACACACACACACACACACTCCAAAACATCAAACCAAGGAAAGATGGGACAGGAGGGGAGGGGATTGCTCTCTCTTCTGTGTTTCCATGCCATGACATATGTACTTCAGCACAGTGACCTGAGCCCTCCTAGAAAGACAGGTAGTCCAGTTGAATCCAGCCTGAGAGTGATCCATGCACCTGCCCAGGCTGGCCACCCTAGCCACATTCTAGTGTGCTGGATGCCCCTGGTGCCAGCCCCAGTCCTCCCAGCTAATACTTACCAGACTCACAGTGGAGATGGCTGCAGAGGCCTCTAGTGGAGTTCTGAGCTGAACAGGGGCCAGGGTGCCCTTTATATTGTTCCCCAGCCCAACCTCCTTCCCTGGTTGAAGGAGATGGACTGGTTTCACCACTCAAGTTGGTCAACTTCCTTCAGCCCCTTTCTGACTCATCACAGACATCTGAAGCAGAAAACCCCTCAGGGCCCCTTTTCATGGAGACACACAGAGAGCTCTGGGGGCTCCATCACTCCTGTGATACTCATCTGACCTGGGCATGGGAAGGTGAGGGAAGCATCTTGGGAAACTTGTCCTCTTTTCCTATTGCTTTGTGACCTCAGCCAAGCCTTTTCTCTGAATCTTAATTTCTTCACTTGTAAAACAAGGTCATCCTGATAATTAGGCCTAGAGATTCATTTCCAAGGGCATGGAATGGAAAGTTATGTGTTTCTATGGGATGTTCAGGCTAGGGTATGTGGTGTCAAGGTGGGAAGAATCACATCTCATGAAGGGATGGGGTTGCTGGGGATTCTCGTGGCCACTAGCCCACAGTCCATCTGCTCTCAGGACATATCTATAACTCCATTCTCTATGGAAATAAATCCTGTCCTGAGGGGGTCAGACTTTAGAGCAGAAGGGTCAAGTAGAAGGCTTGTAGGGGCCTTCTGCTGTGAGCTAGGGGCTGCCTACGTCCCATGCCCAAGTTTGTAGTTACAGAAGTTCTCAAGAAAGCCATGCTCATAAATATTCCAAAGCATGGACCACTCACACAAAGAAACAGGTATTAAATATGAAATATATAATATAATAGATATTGCTTTTTATTGCTTTTTTCTATAATTTTCTTAGAGTGCATAAAGGTATAAAGATCAAAACCAAATCATCCATTGCTTTCTCCAAATCATTCTCTAAAAATAGCTTAAGCAGCTCTACAGGGTCGGGGTTGGAGCTTATCCCTCTTCAATGCCAAAAGTGACCAAGCTCATCTGGAATCCAAATTCACTGCCATAGTTTCAAAGACCCTCACTAGGCTTCCTCAGTTCATAGGACAAGTCCAGGGTTTCCCACCTCAGGGCTTGGTGTCTGCTCTCTCTTGGCCGATTGGCTTCTGCAGGGTTCCTGGCTCTCTGTATCTTTTGGCTTCCCATAAGTGCTGGGGTCTGCGGGAGAGCCTTCCTTGACTCCTTACCTAGAGGCTTATCTTCTGGTTCGCTTCATTGCACTGATAACAGTTGAGAGCCCTTTTTGCATTTGTTCACTTGTTTCTTTTTGTCTTTCCATTGGAAAATAAGCTCCATAAAGAGGGGTTTTGCCTGCTGTGTTTTCTACCATGTTCCCAGAATTTATCATAACCACCACATATACAAAGTGCTCTATAAATATTAGTTGAAGGAATGAATGAATGGTGAATCTCAGCACCTGGAGATAATATACTATTAAACATTTTAGCATAGTGCATATGCACGTGTATATGAACAAAATCAAATTGTGACTTTGCCTTTCTTTTTAATGATTGGGTAATAGCTTATTTTGTAGACATCATTTATTTAAACTCTCATCTTTACAACCTAATCAAAAGGAAATTTTAGAATATTATGAAGGCAAATACTCATTTCTGGGGCTAATTTTGAGGAGTGTCCTGATTCCCAATGGTTTCCTGATAGGCACCTCCCTCCCAGCCCCAAATAGATCTATTTATAGTGTTAATTTTGCCATATGCCTGGGGCCCAGTCTGAAAAGACAGGAGCATTCCCTCCTCTGGAATACTACCCTCTACCCTTGCCCAGTCTGTTCCCTGAACCCACCCAGGACCTCACACTGCCCTCCCTGTAGCACAGGAATAAGCTATCTTCTGAGGTAGGGAAAGCCCTCTTCACACCCTCTGCTTTCCCCCTCCTCCATGAAGAACTAACCAAGCATCCTCACATGGGCACCCATGACTTGCACTCAGATGCTGACCTCACATGGGAGGAATCTGCCTCTCCCTAGCCCATGACAGTCAGTCCCAGGGCAGCAGAGCAGTCCCTGCTCAAGGAAGTCACACCGGTCTTACGGGTTTCTAGGGGCTCTTATCTGCCAGATCTGCCTCCCGCCCTCTGATTCACAGCATAATGAGAGCTTTGGGGGGAAGATAGTGTGTGTGAACCTTTGGCCACTCGGCAAATCTAGGGTGTGGGGAGAAGGGTAGAGTGGGGAGCTGAGGTTGTATGTGTGTGCAGGGGAGGGGTTGGAGAAGCCCCAGCATTTTAGGGGCTCAGAGGCCCCATGCTCTGCCCTCAGATTGCCCCATTTAGGGGACAGAGATGCATGTATATGGGGGAGATTCTCTCAATGTCTGTGTGAGTGATCTCATAGGCCCCGGGTGCACGTGATGAGTCTGGGTAACTGTACAGCCCCCGCCCAGTGTAATGAGGATGAGCTCATATCCCATGACACATGGCAGAGGCCTTGACCCTAGCTCTTCCCTAACCCAGGGAGGCCCTGGATATTTCTCTTGCAGAGGCAGAAACTGGCTGGGTTCTCTTTTTCTCCGAGTGAGACAATCCATTTGAACTATTGCCTAGATGGGGGAGGGCGGGGAGGGAGCATTGGTTACTGCATTTCACTGCCTTGCAGGGAGGATGTCAAGGATAGCTCTTAGTAAGCTGGCAGTATGGGGTAATGGCAGAGGGTCCTAGGAAGGTGACTTGGACCAGGAGGTCCTGTGTTCCCATCTTAGGTATCCATGCCTAAACTGTTTCTTGGTGAGGCAATGCCCCCACTCTCTGAAGCCGTTAACTTGTCCTTCCTCCCCATAGGCCTCCTCCTCTAACCAGGTCACTGCCACTGACATCATCTCCCAATCTGCAACCCTCAGTGATAGGTTCCCCACATGCCCTGAATCCTCCTTGTTCACCTTCACAGCCTCCTGAACCTGACCTCCACTCCTCATTCACCTCTTGAGCCCATCTGCTGCTCTGGGAGGGAATAAGACAAGGAAGGGAGATAAGACCAACAAAGGGCCAAGAGGCCTTCCTCCCTGGGCTTCTGGGTTGGTTAGGGTGATGTGTTCCATTTGCCCCTGTTTGTCTTCCTCTGGCTTCCCCTCTTTGTCCTGTGGGATTGCTGGTTCCCACGTTCAGTCCCCAGTGCTGATTGCTGTAGAAAACCAGTCACAGCTCTGCTCTTGGAACAGCAAGAGGAGCAAAGACATGAAAGGCTATCAGTAGTGGAGGAAAGGAGATGCTCAGTGCCCTCCCCCTCCAGGTGACAGGGTGTCCTCCCTCCTGGGCTCAGTATTTGGGCAATCACATTCTTTGTAGTTGAATCTCTGCACCAGAATGCAGCAGCATGCCTGAACTGAGGGGACTTAATGCATGGGGAAGGCCTTATCTAGTGCCTGGTGCATAGGAGCTTCCTAACACAGCCTGGTGCTTGCAAGGCGTCCAAGCGCCTGTAGTGACAGGTGGGCACTGAAGTCTGGAGAGGAGATATGAGTTGCCCAAGGACCTACAGAAAGTCTGCAATTGAGCTGAGCTGGAAACCACATGATCCTGATCTCCATGCAGTGGACTCCCTTCCCCAGCAGGCTGCCTCCCCAGGTGCCCGAGTGTCTCATGGCAGTGACACGTTGCATGAAATAACCTCAGATATCTTCCAACTCCATGAGTCAGCCATTTAGTGACTGACCCCATTGTGGTCAGTTCTAGGTTTTCTGGAAGAAGGGCTAGTCTTCTCTGGCTAGATTCAGCCAAAATGTTCTTGGGTTGACCCTCATTAGTCCTGGGAATAGAAAATTCTACTTTCTGGCTGGTGCTGGTGTTTATTTTAGCTTAATCCAACCAGGAGGATGTTACTGTTCAAGGTTGGGCACTGGCCTTGGAATAAGACAGGCCCAGGTTTGAATCTTACTGTACCTCTTGTTATCTGGACAAGTCACACTAACTCTATGGTCCTTAGTTTCTTTGTTTATAAAATGGGGATACAAATACCTCCTTCTATTCCTGTAAGGATTTGGTGACGTAATACATGTGGTTAGCACATAGACTGTACTCAAACGGACTTTTTTATTGTTGAGAGTCATGGCCAATATTTGCTGGTGGAATGGAGTGTGTTACTGGCCTACATATAGAGTTTAAAGGATGCAAGGTATTCAAAAACCTTCAGCTTTAAGTTTCTCATTTTGCCAATGGGAAGCCTGAAGCCCCAAAGTCCCATAGTACATGGGAGTAGAGTGGAGACAGAAGCCAGATCTGATTTCCCATTTACTCCTTCTGGATGGCCTGTTCCTGAGCCTCAGGCAGTACTTCAGCTCAGCCTAGAGACTATCTCCCTTGTGTGCATGAGGCCCCGTGAAGACTGATTGTGTTCCCTCATGTTGGCTCACTGAGGAATCCAAATGGGATTGCATTCCTAAGGCATGATGGCTCCTGGAGGGGCCTGTGGCCCCATGTGGGCAGGAGAGAGGCAGCCATTTGAGTCTAACCTTGATGTGGACAAAAAAGGAATCCAGGTGACAGTTGAGGAGTATACAGACAGCCCCATGGGGCCAGAGATGGATGCCAAAGTCTCTGCCCACCACAGAGAATGCAGATAATGGGCAAAAACACTTGGGGTAAGTCTTCACCTAGGCTGTGTGCAGGATCTGAAGGGAGCGCCTAGAAGAGCACATCTGGTAGAAGGCAGACAAGAAGAGTGACAAGGCCACGTGTGGAGGGAATAAGGAGGGACATCACAGAGCAGAGACAAGAGGCAGGTGCAGAACAAAAAGGGAGAGAGGGACAAAGTCCAGCTGTGCAGTCTACCAAGAAGGGTTGCCAGTGGTCAGACAAGTCAAAGGAGGCAGGGACACCTCAGGACTTGGCCAACCTCCTGGTTTTACACTCTCCATCCCTCTGTCTCCCCTGCTAATTAGGGAGTGGTGTGGGGTGGGGACACCTGACCCTGCACCAGCTGCCTCCTGAGAGGAGTATTTGCTCTTAAAATGACTTTTGAACTGGTTTACATGCATATGGAGTACATGCATGCACATGTGTGTGTGTGTAGGAGTGTGTGTGAGTGTGTGCAGTTTTGTGTGGTGGGGGTGGCCTGGCAACATATCTGGTCCTGAAGGAGAGGCTTTCACCAGGAGGAGTTAG